GTAGGGAAAAGCTAAAGGATCCTGTCTTCTGCTTCTGAAGCAGAATTGTTAGGCTCCTGTCTGTTTCCTTTGAGTTGAGCAGGCATCCAGCTTCACCTGGCTTCTGAAAGGCTCAGATCCTCCCAAATGTTACCACTTGCAGGTACACCCAGAGTCTGCTGATGCTGTACCCTTGGCAGCTTGTCCCACCCCTCCACTGTGGAGCATCACAGCAGTCCTTCTGACTCTGTTTTCTACCACGTTTGAAATGTAGTTCAGCTTATGTTAAAATCTTCTGTGTTTATATACATCTTTAAAGTGCTCTATTCCTCTGGCACTTGTTTCCCCATGCCTTGGCCCTGGTCCCAAAACTACTGTGTGTTGCTTTCCCTCCTGCCTTCTTCCACCCTTGCTAGTTTTTAAGTTCTGCTGTAATTTCTGAGTTTTGTTGCAGCTGTGACTGTAGTCAGACTGGATGCTTGTTTGTCTCAGCCTTTAGCCAAAGTGACGTTACTCACAGTGCTGTTGTATTGTCCTCAAAAGTGAAGCAGCTGAACTTAATCTGAAGCAACTGGCATTAAGCCCTACGATTTTTATTTTATTTTATTTTTAAATTTTTCGAGTTTACATGCTTATTAAAGTTATACAATTAGAATATTCAACAAATTGATATGCTTATTCAAGGGACATACCTTTAGGATTTTCTGAGTGGAGCTTCATGTATGTGCAGAACTGGAGTGTATTGGAATTATTGTCTTATTCTATCAACTGAGATTTCTTCCCTTGTCCTGATTTAAGATTATTTTACTCAACAGCTGTGGATGAGTGTTTATTTGAATCTTTAATTTTTAATACAGATTAGCGAAAAGCTGTCAAAATATTATGCAGTATCTTTTTATGAGCTAACTTTGCTCTCTGTTTCTTTCTCCTCTTCCTTTGAATTTGCTCTCCAGGAGTCGCTGTCTAAATGGGTCCAGTCATGCCTCCCAGTAAGAAGCCAGAGGGCTCAGGAATTAGCGTTCCCAGCGGATTGAGCCAACGTTACCAAGAAAGTGGTTTATCAAAGGCACTTCATGATGACGAGGACCTAGACTTCTCTTTGCCCGCCATCAGATTAGATAAAGGGGCCATGGAGGATGAAGAACTGACTAATTTGAACTGGTTACATGAGAGCAAGAACTTGCTGAAAAGCTTTGGGGACTCGGTGTTAAGGAGTGTTAGCCCCGTTCAGGACATCGGTGATGACACGCCGCCGTCTCCTGCCCACTCTGATATGCCCTACGATGCCAAGCAGAACCCCAACTGCAAACCTCCTTATTCCTTTAGCTGCCTCATATTTATGGCCATTGAGGACTCGCCAACCAAAAGACTGCCTGTAAAGGATATATACAACTGGATCTTGGAACACTTTCCATATTTTGCAAATGCACCCACTGGATGGAAAAATTCTGTGAGACATAATCTATCCTTGAATAAGTGTTTCAAGAAAGTGGACAAAGACAGAAGTCAGGTAAGTTTGGCACTATGGAAACCTGTCTGCCTCTGAAAATATTCACCTGCTAATCCCAGAACATGTACATAACAGTGAAATGCAGAATATGCAACGCTGTCCCTGGTAACACAGTTCATTAAATTCAGAGAGCCAACATTTCTTTAGCATGGCTTATTCTGATTTTATAAGATTCATTGTCTAGACATCTGTAAGAAAGAACTTGGTGTGTGTGTGTGTTTTCTCTTTTTCCCCCAGCTGGTGTCTTCATGCATAGTGGTTAAATATTGTTTTTAGTTATCATGCTGTGGTAATGGTTTCCAGCTATACTAGATTAATGTAATCATGTTATAAATAGGCTGCTTGCTGTTCTTGGCTTATACAAATGTATAGTGAGAGGGTATGCTTTAGGTAAAAGTCCATCACATTTTCACTGATGCGTGTTGTAATCTGAAAAAACTTTTCTTTCTTTGAAACAAACAGAAGTAGTTCTGCATTTTGGTGGTGAAGCTTTGTTCCACTTCAGGCAGGTTTTAGAGAAACTAGAGAGGAGATAGGTCTGGCATGAAAGGTGAAAGTTATCAGTCACCAAAACTTCAGTCATTCTCTCCCTGGGTTTCTGTAGCTGCTGTGACTGGTGCAGTGGCAGAAGCCTAGGGAGCACATTTTTGCTTTTGGATCTCTTGGTGTCACCTGGTTTCATTGCTGATCCCTCAGTGGCATCTGCAGGAAGAGGCTGTATGTGAGGGAATGGGGAAGCGAGCTGCGCGGAGGAGGCAGTCCTTTGCGCAACCTTCTGCCAACCACTTTAGTCTGCCTGGGAGCAGATACCAGTTTTCAAAAGGAACCATCTTCAGAAGCAGTGGTCTGGGTGGATCTTTGGCAGAGTATGAGAAAACTGGTAAAAATATCAGCTTCCAGAATAATTTCACAGGTCAGTGAAATAAATATCAGGTAAAATCACATCACTGACTGTCTCTAGAATTGGCTGAAGGTCGGAAAGTGGACACTTTACTTTCTTCTGGAAGAAACAATACAACACTTAACTGTTGTATTTCAGTGAAGTAAATGCTGTGATTGTCTTGTAACTGGTTACCCTTAAACTCGACTTCTGTTGGTGGTGCTGTTCTCCCTGTTTTGGGTCTGATTTAACTTTAAATGATGTGGAATAGGAGCTCAAGTAAATCTAGAGAAAGAGTCATACATTACTCTAAAAGAACGACTTTTCGTTTAAAATTCCTTAACTTTCCTTTCTCAGGAGCTTTGCTTTTTTAAACAATTTACTCTCTTATATATTTTTTTTCTTTTATATTAAATGACATTCCCTAGAATCCACTGTCTGCGTATTTGTGATCATACACTGTGTGTTGGTATTTTTATAAATTACTTGTGTATGAGATAAAAAAACCTGCTCCTGAACTCGTCCTTGTTTTGTATAAAGCAGAGTCTTAAATTCTTGTTTGGAAGTGAGAACAGAATAACAAGTGCCATACCAAAGTTTTATGATCCTGTCCCAGACTATAAGAAACCTCTACACAATACATTTAAAAAACCCCAAAATACCATAACTGGCAAGGCATGTGTTTAACCCTGCCATTTATGTTTTGTTCTCTTCCTCTGTTTGCAAGTTGACTCTTTAGGTTACAGCTTTCTTTCTATGAGGAACTTGTCTTCACGTCTATCTGTCAAATATCTGGCAGTCTGCTGAGCACGTATGAACAATACCACGATGTGCTGCTTCTCCACAGGGAAGTGGTGGAGCATGATGCATGACTAGTCACCTACGTTTTGAATTTGTGATTAGAGCCATGGTTACATAGCCAGACAACAAGGTGTGGTGGGAGGCCTTGCCTATATGAACAATGAGGTGGGGTTTTTATTCATTCCTGGAAAATCCCAGGTTATAAGAAAGACTTTTTTCCATCTCCTGGAGATGCTAGTAACTGCAGGTTGCTGTCATTAAGGTGAATGAGATGAGAATCTCAAATGTGAAGTGCAATGAGACAGGGCATTTAAATCCCCTGCTGGATTTCTCTTGTGTCCTGGCAAAGGGATGTGTCAGACAGAGTCCTGAGCACAGAATTGGCTCTTGGTCAGAATTGCTGAATCAGGTGCTTGACAGCTAATTGTGGACTTGGAAAGCAGTAAACATCAACTGCTGGCTTTGAAAAATACCTTTGTGTGTGTGCATATGCACACTTGTGGTTGATTTGAGTACCTCACAGCCAGCATCTCTGCTGTTGAGACAGAAAGTGTCCATTTAAAGGGTTCCCTGGTTTAGAGCTGGGGCTTGGCCAGGGGAAGGGAGGGACTCACCTCTAAAAGGAATCATTTCATGCCACTTGTTCCCCTTTGCAGCCGGATTCTGCAAACCAGAACCTTGTAGTCTGCTTATCTTACTGGTTTTATGTGGGGAAAAAAAGGCATTTAGCAAATGGCATGTTATAAAATGCTAACAAGATAGGCTTTGAAACATACAGTACAGGGGGAAGGAGTTAATCAGTGCTGGGAATTGCAGGCATTTGCTGGCTGATGTGTGTTGACACACTGAAAAGCTAGAAGCTTTTGCTCTAGTAGTTGTGCTTTCCAGTGTTTGTGTAGCCTTTAAGTAATCATTTCTTTTTTAAAAAGTTCTGCTGGACACTTAATTCTTTTTTTGAATTTCCTCTGCATGGCAGTTTTCTAAATCTTGGGCTCCACTACTTTATATTCACGTGGCTAAATATGTATTTAATAGTGTGCAGATTTTTCTGCCTAAATATGAATGCTTGCATTTCCTGATGTGAGATCCTTTTATTGAGGGGATGGGGGAAACTTACGGGCTGCATCACTCGAGTTTTTAACTTGCCCTGTCCTGGTGCTTTTAAGTTTGGTGTGGAATGCGAGGGATAGACATTTTTCTCCTCAGATTTGTTTATGCACAGCTGCTATTGCACTTCCTCTGCAATCCATCAGGCTTACCTGGCAAGCCTGACTATTCATGTAACTTTGCGATAAGGCTGATTTTCTGGATCGAGACAGAGAGCTGGGCTGAAGAAGGGAAAATGCTGAGCCTTTGATTGTACAAACCTCTTTGCATGGAGCTCAGCAGTTTAATAATAGTTGGCCAGAGTATGAAGTATCACATGATGGGGAGTAGATGAGGAGTTCCCTGGCTTTGTTTATACTGCTGGACCTGTGAATTCAGTCATTCAGATTAATCCTATTGTGAATGTAAAGATATAAATGTCCTGTAGTGTGTGTCCCATTTAGTACAGCCCGTTAGCCCATGACTTCCCTGACTTCCCTACCATCTGGTCCTTGGCTATAGAGAGGAATTTTTCTTGTATATGTGTCTCCATAGCAACGAGTTTGCAGTTGATATGGAAAGTAAGCAGTTGCCCTAGCAACAGAGTTACTGATGTGGCAGCTTCTCTGCTTGCAGGGAAAGGACTAAGCTAGTTCAGACGCATTATGTAGGTTTGCTGTAATTATAGCTGTGCCCACTAGTGCTGCTCTAGCTAAGGGTGTGTTGAAAAATTTAGTTATAAGCCGTATTTTTTTTCCTCCTTGAAGATTTATTTTATTAATGTAGGGATTCTTGCTTTGAGTAAAGGCTGGTAGGATTGCATTTTCAGGGCATGTGATATGTCTGTGCCTTTTATGAATGCAAACTTTCTTAATCATTGCTATCAAATGAGGGGAAAGGATGTTTCACCTCGTTGGCTTGTCTGCAATTTTATTGTCTTAGTGAACAGCCCACTGTTACAGAAGCTGGGGCTCTTGTCCCATGCCCCTTTCCGCTATTTAGCTGTCTTGTCCCTGGTCTGTGCTTCTTTGGTCATCCTATTGTGAGAGTTTCTCTTTGTGTCTGCTCTGTGTTGTCTGAGATAGGGAAACACACACATGCTCCTGCCTGTGTGCAAGCTGAAGAAATACAAGTCTTTTAAAGGTTTATTGGCACTCGTGCTGAGGGATGTCTTAATAAAAATGTAAGGAGGGTAAGGGATATGTTTATGGGGCTGGGAGAAGAAAATTCTCCTCTCTTGATGTGAAAGTTATTCTTAGAAGTAAGTGGTCCATAACTGGGTCATGGAGATCCAGCCAGGCTCCTCCTCCGTCTGGAGCAGGCTCTGAGGGCTGCCGAGTAGTCCTTGGGCTGCAGAGCCCAACTTGTCCCTGTGTAATATACTGCTTCTCGTAAGCACTCTGCCAGGCATCTGGCAGGTCCACCTGGGAGGGAACCCTCTGGGCACAGGAGACTTCAGGAGTCCCTCTGCCAGCATCTTTCCTGTGATGTGATAATGTCTGGGCTTTTGACAGGTAAAAGCCTACAGAAGGATAAGTACTAGCTGGAGTGAGAGGACAAGGAGCCTGCTTGTTCTTTGTGAGAATCTCCTAATCCAATCTGCATATACACAAAGGCAAGAGACCACTGACTCTGTCCTCCCTCTTCTAACATTATTGTTTGAGATCTCCTGTGAAAGCTCAGTGGCACTCTAGGGATAGAAATTAACTCCTCCATTTTTAATATTGTCATAATCTAGACTGACCCAAATAACACAAGCGTCAGAATCTCACTGTGTTTATAGCATGTGGTGCAACTAAACTGTAAAAAAATAAAAAGTCTCGCACCAAACAACAAAACAACTCCTCAGATTGAAGTTAAAGACTTACGATGTTGACTCCATTAATACAATAATGTCCTAAATAGGCTGATCCAACTGTTAATTCCCAAATTGATAAAAGGAGATGTTGCGGCTTTAAGCTGGAATTCGTCTAGCTTAACTTGAAATCAGTTTTCTTATGCCTCAGTTAGTCACACTATAAAGCTGTCTAGTATTAGGAATTTGATATTTTGAGAAATGAGATCAATCAAAGTCTCTAGAACCAAACTATAATATGGGGTTTCCAGATATCAGATGATTTCTGGAGAGCTTTTCTTGAACCCTTTCAGTTTTGTTTTTGAAGTGCAAACACAAGAAATGATACAGAATATTTAAATAATAGATTTCCTAAAGTTGTGCATGCAAATAACATAT